AGGGAGGGCGTACACATGATTTCAGGAGTGGCGGCCCCCTCGCATGCAACAGCATAGTGATTTCTGTATTCGTTGTTCCCCTCCTCCTTTACAGCTCTGCTGAAATGCCTCATTACGCTTGCAGAAAATTTCCTGCCCGCAAGGCAATAAGAGAGTGTCTGAAAAAGTGCAGGGAGATCTCTCTGGCTTCGTCGAAGAGACTATTCTCTGACCTTTCGCGATGTGGGCTATTTAAGTTTTCTTCTCTGGTGATTCAGGAGTCGACTACATCCAAGTGTCTGCACTACGCCGCCTGGACCTCATGCAGGCTCTTCACGACAGCACCAGATCAGAGCGTTGCGTCGAGGCCCTGAAAGAAGTCATTGAAGCCCGGGCGCAGCTTAAAATGTGGGCTTTACAAAGTATGTCCCTGGTAAATTCTGCTGGCGAAGTTTGGGAAAAGCACAGGAATTCCGATTTAAGTACATGATGAGGCCTAGGCACAGGTCACTCGTACCTATTAGAGGAAGAGAAACGTCGGCAACAGATCCCTCTCTAAAGCAGAACTGACCCGGCGCCCGGCAAGCACCATGGCCAGCTCGAGCTGGTCAAAAAACCTAGACCAGAACACCTACCTGGTATTACACAGTTGTGCCGTAGGACATCCCAGATAGGACGTACGCAGTACGTCTGCCACAGCCAAAACGAATAAAATGACCACTCTTAAAACATGTCGCAAGCGGTTGACCTGTTTTGTTTTTTTTTGCTTTTTTTTTATTATCACTTTTTTTTTAGTTTTTAAAGTTCTTGAAAACAAATCTTAAAGTTTTAGTTAAAAAATATGGGGGGAAAATATAGAACTTTTCCGCGCACTTTAGTGGTGAATCGGCCAGGTCAACCGCTAGGCACATGTGTGCCCAAACGGCAATTCGATAGCTCAAAAAATGCGTCTGGGAGGCAGACGCAAAACTGAGACAGTCTGGGCCATACAGCGGCACCTATCTATGCCAGGACCATATGGGAGACTTACTTTATCAAGTGCTTTGACATAGAAGAACAAGTGAGCCCAGTGCAGCTACATTTGGACTCTCTTGGCGAATACGGCACGAACGTGCCGGGTAGCACCGAGGACCGTAGTGCATTTTTGGCTCTCTAAACCAGAAATTCTTGAATTTTTGAACGGGTTCTTCGGCATATTACATAAAATGAATAGACCAAAACATTTTTACGGATAATAAAAAGGTATCGATTTTTTGACAATACCCACAGGTTTGCCCTTTTAATCATAATCATACAGAGGCAGGTCCTGGGGAACTCGGTGTTGACCAAGTTTGCAATAAATATTTGCGGCAGTTATGTGATGTATCACTTAACCACAATTGTACCTCACACTTCTTGGTGAGGGGTCAATAAGAAAGGTATGCAGATAGATGATCTCTAGATATAAATTATACATCACATAAAATCAAAACTCATTCGTAAAAGCGGGCGTCAGTAATGCAATTCGACTTCATGACCATTGCTTTTATACAGGAATAACGTGACTTCCAGTAGCAGATGTACAGGATGGCTGACAGACCCCTTCCTTTATTTTGCGTATACTCTACCGCATGCAGGCGTGCGGGAGGGCTTGCCTACAGTCACTCATCGCGGTGCCTTATGGCCCCATGCAAGTATTCTGCCGCACGCCTGCATCCGGTAGCAAAATAGATTACGGGGTCTGATGACCACCCTGTATACAGGATGATCATCATCCTGCTAGTCCCCAAGTCCACCTTACCATGTCAGTGTGCACATATTTTCGCATAATAACGAATGTACAAATCGTTCTGGACTGAACCCCAAGCAGCCGGACGGATTCCTCCACGGAGGTACTCAGGTGTTAGGTCCTGCTCGGGGACATGCTGAGTAGCTCGTAAGTGGGACACCCCAAGGGGTTGTAGCGTAGAAGCGTAGATATGTCAGGAGGAGTAAGACTTCTCAGTACTTTCTGTCAGAAGTAAGGGAGCGTGGGGTCCCATGAGCCTGGCGGTCCCATGAGCCTAGCCCGATATCTCAGCATTAGTAAATCAGAGTCACTGATCAAAACTGCTGTTAAGTTGTCGGTCATGTGGTTGTTCGAAACCGAGCCTGGGCTTACCGCTATGAGCGATTCAACAGGCGTGAGTGGCGGTCAAACTTTTTAATAGCGATTTTCAGGCAAAAGTAACTTTTGATTTTTCACTTTGACCTTTTGTTTCATACTTTAAACGTCCACTATCAGTCTCTGTAATGGTATCAATCTGTTCTGTGGTCTTTCGACTGTATTATAGAACTATATTTCCGGGCGAAGTCTCCTCTTATTCACTTAATTTTAAAATTTATTCCGAAAAGTGTACCCTGGGGTCCCATGGGCTTAGTGGTCCTTAGGGTCCCGTGTGCCCCATCGTATGCCTCAAAAAAATCTTTTTTTTTTCTTTTTCCTTCATATATTGTGTGCTTGTTTAGTAAAATGCCTCTTAACAGAACTACCATAGTCAAATTTCGATTCCGAAGAATTTTTCACTTTGAACTTGCTCTAAGGTTAATACAAACGTAAATAATATTTTCTACGGCTGTTTCTCTTGCGACAAAGCTATTATACCAGATCAGGCGCATAAATAGAGACTATATTTATCATTCCCTTTGATTCGAATGTGAATAGCTCTACTTTATTGACTTATATTGGCAAAGGCTTATGCTTCCCCAGGGCAGGCTCATGGGACCCCAGGCCTGGGGTCCCATGAGCTTTTGCAGAGCTTTGCTAAAATCTCTCCTATTTTAATAATAAGGGTGCTACGAACTCGATACGAGTATTTTTAGAAAGAACAAAGACCAATCTAACATCTTACGTCGAGAAATAGACAATATCGTTCAAAATAAGCAGTCAGGGTCAATTTGAAAAAATGTTCGCCTTGTTCCCTGCATTCTTCTGCATTTCAGCTTTCCCGGAATGCTTTATAGTGCATGTTGCTGCAACCGTATTTTGATGGTTGTCCCTGGCCTACCGTACGATGATTGAGGTTTTCGTTTTTCTGGGTGAAGTGGACTACTCGTCCGTCGCCCTTCCCGAGGCAGTCTTGTCCGGCCGCATGAGTCACTTGGGTGACTTTGACGCCTGCATTGGAGCCCTAGACGCAATGTACTGTTTGGTGGACGTCGAGATTCGACCAATGTCTGCAGTCGGGGCCCATCCACATCGACTGGACGAGAAGAGCCCGTTCGACTTCTCCAACGGCAGCAACGCCACACTCTGGGACGTGCTACGGGTAAGGAAAAGCAGGGCCCAACGAGCCCTCTTCACATTTTCCCGACCCCCCC